CGTCAGAATGAGAGTTCAAACAGCTGATTAAAACATCACAATAATCCACTAGTAATCCACATAACTCCAGTCCATCAATTAATGTCTTGTGACGTGAAAAGCCACATTGTTAAGAAACACATCCACCATTAAGGCATTTCGACTTTAAATCATTGCTTCTGGTCAAAATACAAGGCCTGAATCCATAATAAAAGACTTCTTCCAGTGAAGAAGTCCATCCCCTGTTGTATTCTCACATCAAAAGCCATCTTCATCAGAACAGATTTGGATAAATTTAGCATTACATCAGTTGCTCACCAATGAGAGTCCAAACAGCTGATCGAAACATCACAATAATCCACAAGTAATTCACACGACTCCAGCCCATCAATTAACATCTTGTGAAGTGAAAAGCCATGTTATTAAGAAACACATCCAACATTAAGGCGTTAAATCCTTGCTTCTGGTCAAAATACAAGGCCTGAATCCATAATAACGTTTCCTCCAGTGAAAAAGTTCATCCTCTGTTGTCCTCTCACATCACTAGAGGGATCTGAAAATAAAAGAAAATAAAGAATATGCATTTATAACTTCCCATTTAATTAAGAGACAAAATATAGTCTGTTTCACGTAACTAATGTACTATGTACTGATGAAATGTACCAACCTGTGTCTCTTTACATGTTTCCATACTGAAGTTCTGAAGCAGCTTCACAACAAGAAGTTTCATGATCATTTGGGCGAATCTCATTCCAATGCAATTTCGAGGCCCGAGTCCAAAAGGCATGAAAGCGTATTGGTTCATCTCTGACTTACATTCTGGGCTGAACCTGTAAAAAATATTAGAGACACCTAAAGTTGAGCCATTTTTGTCTCAAACATTTTCATTTACATGTTATGTGTGAGGAAAAAACTGAAGTGAGAAAAATTGTGGCAGTGCACAAAATGCTCAGAAAGCATCAGTGTCTGATGAATCACATCACCTCTCTGGTCTGAACTCATCAGGAGACTCCCAGAGCTGCAGATCACGACACAATACATATGTAGGAATTCCAACCAGAGTGTCCTTTGGTATGGTCACCCCATTGAGCTCCACAGTTTTCTTACAGACCCTCTCTAAGCGTGGTGCAGTGGGAAGGAGACGCATTGATTCGTTGATGGCCATTTCCAAGCAATCCATTTTCATCAATGCATCATATGTGATGGGAGTCTGGAGAATCAAAAAACAAGACATGTTGCATATATATATTATGGCTTTATTTTAAACCTACTTGCTGTTCCTTAAGTAAAGCAACTGAACACTAAACTTTAAAACTGCCTTAAAGGAACAGTTTGCCCAAAAATGAAACTTTACTGAGGCCATCCAAGATGTAGATGATTTTGTTTCTTCATCAGAACAGATTTGGATAAATTTAGCATTACATCAGTTGCTCACCAATGAGAGTCCAAACAGCTGATCGAAACATCACAATAATCCACAAGTAACTCACACGACTCCAGCCCATCAATTAACATCTTGTGAAGTGAAAAGCCATGTTATTAAGAAACACATCCAACATTAAGGCGTTAAATCCTTGCTTCTGGTCAAAATACAAGGCCTGAATACAAGGCCCCCTCCAGTGAAAAAGTTCATCCTCTGTTGTCCTCTCACATCAAAATCCAACCAACATATCTGTTTAGAACAGTTTTTGACTGTTTTCTCTTATAAATGGTGAAAAGCTGCGTGTTTGTAATAAACAACTTTTAACCAAACTCTTGCTTCCAGCTAAAATACAAGTCCTCTAACAATAATATTGTTTTCTCCAGTAAAAAGGTGTCTCATCTGAATCAGAAGAGAGTTATGCACAGATCAAGCACCATTTATAAGAGAAAACAGTCCAAAACTGTTCTAAACAGATATGTTGGTTGGATTTTGGTGTGAGAGGACAACAGAGGATGAACTTTTTCACTGGAGGAACCGTTATTATGGATTCAGGCCTTGTATTTTGACCAGAAGCAAGGATTTAACGCCTTAATGTTGGATGTGTTTCTTAATAACATGGCTTTTCACTTCACAAGATGTTAATTGATGGGCTGGAGTCGTGTCAATTACTTGTGGATTATTGTGATGTTTCGATCAGCTGTTTGGACTCTCATTGGTGAGCAACTGATGTAATGCTAAATTTATCCAAATCTGTTCTGATGAAGATGGCTTTTGATGTGAGAATACAACAGGGGATGGACTTCTTCACTGGAAGAAGTCTTTTATTATGGATTCAGGCCTTGTATTTTGACCAGAAGCAAGGATTTAACGCCTTAATGTTGGATGTGTTTCTTAATAACATGGCTTTTCACTTCACAAGATGTTAATTGATGGGCTGGAGTCGTGTGAATTACTTGTGGATTATTGTGATGTTTCGATCAGCTGTTTGGACTCTCATTGGTGAGCAACTGATGTAATGCTAAATTTATCCAAATCTGTTCTGATGAAGAAACAAAATCATCTACATCTTGGATGGCCTCAGTAAAGTTTCATTTTTGGGCAAACTGTTCCTTTAAGGCAGTTTTAAAGTTTAGTGTTCAGTTGCTTTACTTAAGGAACAGCAAGTAGGTTTAAAATAAAGCCATAATATATATATGCAACATGTCTTGTTTTTTGATTCTCCAGACTCCCATCACATATGATGCATTGATGAAAATGGATTGCTTGGAAATGGCCATCAACGAATCAATGCGTCTCCTTCCCACTGCACCACGCTTAGAGAGGGTCTGTAAGAAAACTGTGGAGCTCAATGGGGTGACCATACCAAAGGACACTCTGGTTGGAATTCCTACATATGTATTGTGTCGTGATCTGCAGCTCTGGGAGTCTCCTGATGAGTTCAGACCAGAGAGGTGATGTGATTCATCAGACACTGATGCTTTCTGAGCATTTTGTGCACTGCCACAATTTTTCTCACTTCAGTTTTTTCCTCACACATAACATGTAAATGAAAATGTTTGAGACAAAAATGGCTCAACTTTAGGTGTCTCTAATATTTTTTACAGGTTCAGCCCAGAATGTAAGTCAGAGATGAACCAATACGCTTTCATGCCTTTTGGACTCGGGCCTCGAAATTGCATTGGAATGAGATTCGCCCAAATGATCATGAAACTTCTTGTTGTGAAGCTGCTTCAGAACTTCAGTATGGAAACATGTAAAGAGACACAGGTTGGTACATTTCATCAGTACATAGTACATTAGTTACGTGAAACAGACTATATTTTGTCTCTTAATTAAATGGGAAGTTATAAATGCATATTCTTTATTTTCTTTTATTTTCAGATCCCTCTAGAGCTGAATGCTATTTTTCAGCCGAAGGTTCCCATCACACTGAAGTTTATACCAAGGTCTTGCAAGGCAAAAGAATAATTAAAATGCAGAATATTTCAATATAATTGTGTAGAAGATTTGATACTATGTTATATAGCATTTATAAAATTACTCTTTTTTTTTTATTTATTATTATTCACCTTTTTCACCATATTTTTGGATTTACAGTGCTGATGGTTTGCTGGGCCTGGGCTGTGTATGTTTAATTATATAACATATAAGCAATTAATGCAATGTAACGTGTTATTATTGTAGCTGTGCGAGACAGGATCATGTACTTTAATAACAGAATTAAATAAATGTTTTGTTGGAGAACAGACATCATCATAATAGACATCTGATTTGAGATCTAATACATGCTGGTCATGAACATGGTATCTAAAAAATTTCTTCACTTTTTGCTTTTGATTATGAGTATAAATGTAAAATATCAGAGTTTGTTTGCATCTGCAGTGAAAGACTTTAAAATGTAAAAATTCAAACAAGAAAGAAATTTAAGCCAGAAAGTAAAACAATTGCAAAACAAACATTTGATGAAACAGCCAAATGTAACATACAGTACATAGATAGATAGATTACAAGTAATGGATAAACTGCATAAACTGTATTTTGAGACCTGACATTAACACCCTTAACCTGAATGCTGTTTAACTTGTCTGTTCAGATATACCTTTATTATATAGTTGGTTCATATATGAAAGCTAGTGTGGTTTTCTTCTGTTCATTTGTTACCCCGTTGTTATTGCATAAATATGATGATGTGGGTATTTTAGTTTTGAGGGCAGGTTAAAAAAATGAACTAGACAATAGAAATCAGCTTCCAAAACAGCTGCTAGGGAACTCTACTGTGTGACAAACAGACCCCTCATCTGTAATATTATTCGTCAGAATGAGAGTCCAAACAGCTGATAAAAACATCACAATAATTCACACGACTCCAGCCCATCAATTAACATCTTGTGAAGTGAAAAGCCATGTTATTAAGAAACACATCCAACATTAAGGCGTTAAATCCTTGCTTCTGGTCAAAATACAAGGCCTGAATCCATAATAACGTTTCCTCCAGTGAAAAAGTTCATCCTCTGTTGTCCTCTCACATCAAAATCCAACCAACATATCTGTTTAGAACAGTTTTTGACTGTTTTCTCTTATAAATGGTGAAAAGCTGCGTGTTTGTAATAAACAACTTTTAACCAAACTCTTGCTTCCAGCTAAAATACAAGTCCTCTAACAATAATATTGTTTTCTCCAGTAAAAAGGTGTCTCATCTGAATCAGAAGAGAGTTATGCACAGATCAAGCACCATTTATAAGAGAAAACAGTCCAAAACTGTTCTAAACAGATATGTTGGTTGGATTTTGGTGTGAGAGGACAACAGAGGATGAACTTTTTCACTGGAGGAACCGTTATTATGGATTCAGGCCTTGTATTTTGACCAGAAGCAAGGATTTAACGCCTTAATGTTGGATGTGTTTCTTAATAACATGGCTTTTCACTTCACAAGATGTTAATTGATGGGCTGGAGTCGTGTGAATTTCAGTTTCAATCAGCTGTTTGGACTCTCATTGGTGAGCAACTGATGTAATGCTAAATTTATCCAAATCTGTTCTGATGAAGAAACAAAATCATCTACATCTTGGATGGCCTCAGTAAAGTTTCATTTTTGGGCAAACTGTTCCTTTAAGGCAGTTTTAAAGTTTAGTGTTCAGTTGCTTTACTTAAGGAACAGCAAGTAGGTTTAAAATAAAGCCATAATATATATATGCAACATGTCTTGTTTTTTGATTCTCCAGACTCCCATCACATATGATGCATTGATGAAAATGGATTGCTTGGAAATGGCCATCAACGAATCAATGCGTCTCCTTCCCACTGCACCACGCTTAGAGAGGGTCTGTAAGAAAACTGTGGAGCTCAATGGGGTGACCATACCAAAGGACACTCTGGTTGGAATTCCTACATATGTATTGTGTCGTGATCTGCAGCTCTGGGAGTCTCCTGATGAGTTCAGACCAGAGAGGTGATGTGATTCATCAGACACTGATGCTTTCTGAGCATTTTGTGCACTGCCACAATTTTTCTCACTTCAGTTTTTTCCTCACACATAACATGTAAATGAAAATGTTTGAGACAAAAATGGCTCAACTTTAGGTGTCTCTAATATTTTTTACAGGTTCAGCCCAGAATGTAAGTCAGAGATGAACCAATACGCTTTCATGCCTTTTGGACTCGGGCCTCGAAATTGCATTGGAATGAGATTCGCCCAAATGATCATGAAACTTCTTGTTGTGAAGCTGCTTCAGAACTTCAGTATGGAAACATGTAAAGAGACACAGGTTGGTACATTTCATCAGTACATAGTACATTAGTTACGTGAAACAGACTATATTTTGTCTCTTAATTAAATGGGAAGTTATAAATGCATATTCTTTATTTTCTTTTATTTTCAGATCCCTCTAGAGCTGAATGCTATTTTTCAGCCGAAGGTTCCCATCACACTGAAGTTTATACCAAGGTCTTGCAAGGCAAAAGAATAATTAAAATGCAGAATATTTCAATATAATTGTGTAGAAGATTTGATACTATGTTATATAGCATTTATAAAATTACTCTTTTTTTTTTATTTATTATTATTCACCTTTTTCACCATATTTTTGGATTTACAGTGCTGATGGTTTGCTGGGCCTGGGCTGTGTATGTTTAATTATATAACATATAAGCAATTAATGCAATGTAACGTGTTATTATTGTAGCTGTGCGAGACAGGATCATGTACTTTAATAACAGAATTAAATAAATGTTTTGTTGGAGAACAGACATCATCATAATAGACATCTGATTTGAGATCTAATACATGCTGGTCATGAACATGGTATCTAAAAAATTTCTTCACTTTTTGCTTTTGATTATGAGTATAAATGTAAAATATCAGAGTTTGTTTGCATCTGCAGTGAAAGACTTTAAAATGTAAAAATTCAAACAAGAAAGAAATTTAAGCCAGAAAGTAAAACAATTGCAAAACAAACATTTGATGAAACAGCCAAATGTAACATACAGTACATAGATAGATAGATTACAAGTAATGGATAAACTGCATAAACTGTATTTTGAGACCTGACATTAACACCCTTAACCTGAATGCTGTTTAACTTGTCTGTTCAGATATACCTTTATTATATAGTTGGTTCATATATGAAAGCTAGTGTGGTTTTCTTCTGTTCATTTGTTACCCCGTTGTTATTGCATAAATATGATGATGTGGGTATTTTAGTTTTGAGGGCAGGTTAAAAAAATGAACTAGACAATAGAAATCAGCTTCCAAAACAGCTGCTAGGGAACTCTACTGTGTGACAAACAGACCCCTCATCTGTAATATTATTTGTAAACAGCTTGTAAACCATTGTTCTGGACTTTTAGATATATTCCCTCATTTTAAATTCCTATTAGTAGCAACACCAGAAATACAAAATATCTACAGGATTTAATACATGTGAGGAAAAGATGGTTATTCTGTCTCACTGATGACTGTAACAAAGGGCTGTTATAATGCAACGCCCACAACACTACCTATCAATAAATGTGATAGGCAGGTTTTCAACAGACGTCTGAAACAACTAATAACATACATAAACCTGTAGTGCCCTCTGTACATACTTAAAATTCACCGGAGAGCTGCATCAGTTGAGAAAGTTTTCTGCTCAATATACTAAAGATTTGATTTAACACCCATATCCAATATATGATATTAGTGGTTTCTGTGTATAAATGGAAACCACATTCATTTAATTCATTACTAAAGGTGTAATATTATTGCAGATGACAAAGTAATGATATGTAAATAATCACTTACTGTATATTATATATTTAATAAGAAAACGCTATTTTTATTTTAGAGTTGTGGGTCCATACAGTTTGGATGTGGTCACCAGCTCCTCTTTTAGCGTTGACATTGACTCCATAAACAACGCAGATGATCCTTTCGTTACCAGTGTCAAGAAGTTTATCCAGTTTAATATGTTCAATCCTCTCTTTATGCTAATACGTATGTTATTGTTTGTATAATAATATTGGAAAATGAACAGAAATAATGAAAAAAGAAACAAAAATGTAATTAATTTTTTTATTTCAGTTTTGTTTCCCTCCATTGTAATTCGTTTGAAGAAAATGGGGGTTACTCTTTTTTTCGAAGTCATCTATGGATTTTTTCTACAGTGCCCTGAAAAAGATTAAGGACGAGCACAACAAGGAATCAGATGTATCAGGGTCCGGTAGATTTTCATGCTCCAAAATCAAATACCTGGTGATCATTTTGAGGACACAAGTGAGCAACCAGCAAAAGGTTTGAGAGATAGAATTTACACATTATCGACTCTTTCATTTCAAATGGAACTTGTTGTCAAATATGTGGTTTTGTGAATTTAATAGGACATACAGATCACGAGATTCTCTCCCAATCCCTCGTTTTCATTCTCGGAGGTTATGAGACGACAAGCACCACTCTCACTTACCTCTATAATCTTGCAACTAATCCAGACTGCCTGGAAAAACTGGTTGAGGAGATTGACACAAACTTCCCTCCTGATGTGAGAACAACGGCTTCTGCTCTGTTCATAGTTTTTGTGTAAATAAACTATTTTAAGGCAGTTTTAGAGTTTAGGGTTCAGTTGTTTTACTTAAGGAACAGGAAACTGGTTTAGAACAAAGCCATAATATGCATCGGGGAGTGGAAAAGCGCCATTACACTCCCATCATGCATTGATGAAAATGGATTACTTGGAAATGGCCATCAGTGAATCAATGCGTCTCCTTCCCACTGCAACACGCTTAGAGAGGAATTCCTACATATGTTTTGTGTCCTGATCCGCAGCTCTGGGAGTCTCCTGATGAGTTCAGACCGGAGAGGTCATGTGATTCATCTATCAGACATGACATCTATCATTTTTTTTCACAACCACAATTTTTCTCACATATGATCATCTTATAGCATGTGATTTATACAGTTTATAGAACCACGTGCCAGATTTAAGCTGGCTAAACCAAATAATTTTTTCTCATATGGAATTTGCAAGGACTATGAAACAGCCTATAAAGTGTAAGGAAACGTCCTTATTTGGTTACACAACAATGATTTATTTATATCTCCATTGAAACTTAATTTTATGTCTACAAACACTGAACTCTGTTTTTAGACCATTTAATTGAAGCAAGAATGGCTAAACTGAATTTGTTTCTAATATATCACTATAGGTTCAGCCCAGAATGTAAGTCAGAGATGAACCAGTACGCTTTCCTGCCTTTTGGACTCGGGCCTCGAAATTGCATTGGAATGAGATTTGCCCAAATGATCATGAAACTTCTTGTTTTGAAGCTGCTTCAGAACTTCAGTATGGAAACATGTAAAGAGACACAGGTTGGTACACTGACAGTCATCAATTAGAATTGATATACATGAGTTATGTGAGACAGACTGTGCTTTGTGTCTTGAATTAATTAATTATTGTTTATTTCCTCTTTTTTTTTGTTTTTTTTCTCAGATCCCTCTAGAAATGAATGCCGCTTTTCAGCCAAAGGTTCCCATCACAGTGAAGTTTATGCCAAGATCTCGCAAGAAAAAACAATAATGCAATGCAAAAGTTACATAATATAATTATGAATAACAAGAACATTTGTAATCATTTGTAATCATGAAGACTGAAACGTATTAGAATATTTACACAATTATAATTCTCTTTTTAATATTTCATTATATTGTCAATCGTTTTATGTTCACCTTTTACACTTTATAGAAGTGTGCCATTATGTGATTTATGGTGCTCAAGATCATGATGGACCTTGAGCTCTTCCTGGTTCATTCATTTTGTGTCATGTGTGTAATGCTTATTGAAGTGTAATAAATATGTTTTAAAAGACACAACGTTGTGCACATTTAATTATACTTATTTTATTTATTATACTTACAGTATATGTTTTATAAAATCAAAACAAATAATGTATATGTACATTGTAGTCAATGCAGTGTATATTCATGTAGCGGTAAAGCAGACACGAAGTTCTTTTCTATATAAAAATATCTATTATATCATCAGAATTATTTTACCACATAAAATGTGCCCATGTGAGAAATACTTTTGGTGAAAAATGGTCATTTTGTTATTCATTGTACCCAGAAAGCCCATAAAACTGAATCCAGTGTCCTGCATTACGGTTGTCAACGAAGACTAAACAGGAAGATAGTGTTTGTTTTCATGCCACTTACAGCCTTAATTGTGCTGCCATGCCCTGGAAAACCACCACTATAAAACAGATAATGAGAAAGAAACGGCTTTTTTTAGCATTGGCAGTTATCAATTCATATATTTATTATACAATGTTCCTTTTTTTCTTGGTACTTTTAACATTTATATTAACACACTATTTTAAAAAAAATGAAATGAGCATAAGATTCTCCTCAAGGGGTATTGTTTGTATACCCACTTTATCAAATAAATGAATTCATATATAGGCTATTTAATTATGAGTAGTTAGATGAGAAAGTAAATGTGTAGTTTGGGACTGTATAATACCTGCTGGTGCATCATTAAAGTTGACCTCAGCACTGAATGTGTAACCAGCTGTAATTCCATCCTACATTAAGGCCTCTTTCCTCATTTCATCTTTAAAAATATTCTTGTCTTTCTGTGACATCTGAGAATTTGAATGTGTAACTTGGGGTAAACCAAAATGCTTTTCAGACCTAGTACCTAGAAATCTTTTAAGGTCAAGACCTTTGTTGCAAGACATGTTTCATTTATGGGAAATCCGGCAGCATTTTTTCCTGAACACTTCCTGCTGACTCAACTCCCAACAGGCTGAATTTTTGATTTTGACCTAGAAATTCTTCATTATTTTTCATTACATCCTTTTCTGAGATTGCAAAACAAACCATTGCCTGATTTTAATCAAAACATAAAAGAAACACATTAAAATGACAAAGACAGCAAAAGAATATTGTTAAAGACCTTGGTGTCAACGAACACTTTTAGAGTTTTGATCAATGAGCTGTTAAAGGAAGAATCAATTTGTAAATGTTTTTAATTGTGTTTTGATATACTGTTTTTGAGTTTTTTTCTTCTTCTGCTAAAGCAGTGCTGCATCTTGGCCAGGTCACTTCTGTAAAAGAGATTTTTAATCTCAGAAAGTTTTTATCTGGTTAAATAAAGGACAATAAATAACTAAAAAATGGTTTTGGTAAAATAATCCAGGCCAAGTATTCAAAGTCATCACTGACAGTAAGATTAAGAAAGAAAATTAAGTAAGAAAACATTACATCAGTTTATTACATGGCTCTCTGGAATGCTTATTCTTAACAGATCAGTTTATAACCTGATAATTATATAGATACCCCAGCTGTAGGCTACATTTACCCTTATGCAGCCAGTAAGAGATTTTATAAAGTTCATAAAAGGATGTAAAGGATATTATCAAGAGAACAAAGTTTAAATGTGCATTAAATGGTTGGAAAATAATTAAATGCAGAAAAGTGTGAAAAGATGAAAAAATATGAGACATGCTGGCCTTGCAAGCACTGCAGTTACACAATGTATGTTTTCCCCCTTGACTGTAGAAAAAAAGACATTACAATTTAAAGTAGGCTGTTTTTTCTACATTATAGATTAAAATGAATAACTAATGATCATTCTGAATTGTATCGAAATTGTATTTAAATGATTTAAATTCGTAAATTCTTCAGCATTTTAATGGCAAACAACAGACAGTTGAACTCGAAGTTTTTTTTTCTCAGTTTTATTTTATGGTTAGAGAACAAATGTCGATGCACTAGTGAAGACAGACACCTTGTGTTGGCAATTGAAACTGCTCATAGTTTAAACTTAATTAACCCTTGTGCGTCAATTAAAAAAAGTTACACATAGGTCCATAGTGGACAAAAATGTCCATGTCAAAAAACTGTCATAAAAATGTGAAGCTTGGGAGCACAGTTAAGTTTGGTCTCATTTTAAAGAAGACCCATGGCAGATTATTGTTGAAGTAAAAAAAGTTTAAAAAGTGAAACAAAAAAAAAGTTCTAGATGTTTAGGTTTATGAAAATGATTTATGAACGATGTTTTATATAAAATATATATTTTATGAAACATGTTGAACTCTATACCTGCTAGAAA